GTACTGGCGGATGCCGTCCCTCCAGATGAGCAGGAAGAGCCGGTGGTGGCAGGTGATGCAGCCGTTGTCCTCCGAGCACAGGACGCAGCCCGTGCAGTTCTCCAGCAGGCCGGCGCTCGCTGCGGGCACAAAGGGGCTGGGGCACGGCTGCAGGACACGTGCACGGCATGGCCGAGGCGTCGCCGAGGGTCCCGGCCCCCATGGCAGCCCCTCGCCGGCCCGCGGGGGTGACAGTGGGACCTGTCCCCCTGCAAACGCCTCCCTCACGCAGCTCAAGCATCGCCACCTCCATCGCCCCGGGGGCCGGGGCCGGGGGTTCACCCCACGCCCAGCTCTGCCCAGGGGTGCCAGCCTGAGCCCCCTCCCTACGCTCACCCATGGGAAGCATCCCAGCGAGGGTGGAAATGCTCTGACCCTGGATGAATTACCTGATGCCTGTTCTGCATCAGGGGACAAATTGCGTTTTGGAAAAGATCAAGAGGAGCCGAGATAAGGATCTGTCTGGTTGCTCAAGAGCCTCCACGGCCTCCCTGGCTGCCTTCGCTGTGCTCCCGACCTGCGACAGGTGGGTTCTGCTCCCAGGGACAAGGACGGGGTGTCAGCCCCCCGCCGTCAGCCCGCAGAGACCCTGCCCACCGCTCCTCCCCAACCCCGGAGGAAGGCCGCCCGGAGAGGTGCCCCTGTCGCTGAGCGGGCAATGGGCAGCCAAACGAGCCGGGTGCTGCCCGGCACGGACACGGGTTTCACCCCGGGAGCGATCCCCGGCGTGGACCCTCTCTGGCCCCCGGGAGGTGCCAGCAGAAGGAGCCCCACGGCTGCGGCGGCCGGGGCAGAGGCTGGTGGAAAGCTCAGCTCGGTGCCGGGGAAGCGGGGGGAGATGCTGGCAGACGACACCTCACAGCCCTGCGCGCTGGTCCCCAGCGTTCCCAGTCCAAGGCAGTCCCTGGCGCAGTGGTGCCAGGCTGCTGTCCCCATGCTGCCTCACCCCGGTCCCCTCACCGGGGCGCCGGGGCTCGGGCGGCAGCGCGGCGTGGCCAGGAGGCTTCGTTAGGGCCGCGTCTGCTGGGAGCGCGCTAACGAAGCACCTTGGATCCATTAAGTTGTTATGGTCTCCGTTACATATTTACCCAACGCTGACAACATTTGTGTTCCTGGCTGCAGCTGGAGCAGCTTCCCTCGAGACCGGGGGATTTACGAGCCTCTTTCCCTTCCCTAATTCTTTTTGATGATTTTTAATTTTTTTTCTTGCCGCTCTCCTTCCAACCCGCTTCTGGGGCAGGGAAGGTGGGGAGCCCTGCGCAGGCTCCGGGGCCTCCTTCCCATCACCGGTTTTAAAAATAATCCCGTGGTGTGGAGCCGGCACGGCACGTGCCTCCGCCGCCGGGAGTAGTGCCGGGGAGCCGGCTGTGCCGCACGATGGGACGCGGCTCACGCCGAAACCGTGGGACTGGGGAAAATGGGGAAACTGGGGCCGCGTGGTGGGTTCACCTCCCCCTGCCCAGCAGCGATTGCAGACCTGGGGCGCCGGGCCGAGCTGCCAGGCACTGGGCAGGGGGCACAGGGGGTACCGGGGTGTCCGGTAACCAGCTGGCCCAGATCAACTGCGGGGCACGGCCGGAGGCAGGTCCCGGCAGCCGTGGGGTGGCCTTGGGGTGCTGCCCTGTCCCTCCCAGTCCCCGGAGGCCATGCGGGCCCTTCAGCACTGGTTATACGGGGAGAGATTCAAGGCAGGGAGGTGAGACCAGAGTCCTGGGTGCTGCCAGGACCGGAGGGCCCCGCGCATCCCGGCACACCAGGCCGCTCGGCATCACGCATCAGTGGCCGGAGCACTGGCCCCGTGGCCCCCGAGCCCCTCTCAGTGCCAGGCTGTTTCCCAGCAGAGGCGTTCCGGCTGCCAGCCCGGCCACCCGCATCCCCTCACGCACCCGCTGACTCTTTGACGCGTGACGGCCGCAGGGAAAGGCTGTCCAGGCTCCAACCCCCGTCCCGCCAGGTCCTGTCCCTGCCCACTCCCGCTCCAGTTCCAAAAGCGACCTGCTCCTGGCACAGAGCCGAGCAGCAGCCCTGGCCCCATGCCCGGCTGGCATTGCCCGGTGAGGAGACACGAGCGGGTGCCCGCCGGAGGGGTGCGTGTGCCTCGGCACACATCCTGCCCTTGCCCTGGCGCCGAGCAGCGGCTCGGCAGGGGCGGGGGGGCCGGGCAGTGCCTGCAGTGGCTCCGAGCATCCTTCCAGGAGGTTTTACTCCCCAAACACTTCATGCATTAAGCAGAGAAGGGAAATCTTGGAAAATCAACCCATTCTGCACGAGCCCCACTGTGCCTGGCTCTCCTGGGGTTTGTAAAGCTGGTCCCTGTGCCAGCCAGTGTCCCCCTGTCCCCAGGGCAGGGCTGGCATCGGGCAGGCGATGCCGTGGGGTTGGGCATCGCCTTCTCCACGCACCCACCCCGAGGTGACAACGGGACCCGAGGGGCCGGGTCGCTCCTTCCAGCCCCGTTTCACAGGTCCTGCCCGCTCCGCGCAGGCAGCGCCAGGGGAGGCAGCTCCGTGTCCCCCAACCGCCCCACGGTACCTGAGCGGGACGAGCCGGCCACACGCACCGTACCTTGCTTCTTCCACCGGTTCTGCGTGAGCATTTCCATGGAGCTGATGAATAACAGCAACATGAATATTATCCACTGCATCTGGGCAGGAGTGATTTCGGGCAGGGAAGAAATCAAATCATCCAAGCGGCTGGCGGGCTCGCCTCCTGCCAGAGCCAGCCGAGGGGCGGTG